TTAGCCAACCGACCCGGCAGCCGAAAAATGGTTTTTAACAATTTTTTTATCGATATTACTTACGCCTTAATCCGCTTGCCTTTAAATTATTTTTTACGGCTGATAGTCAAGCCAAGAAAGAGAATATTTGTTAATTCAGAACAAGATGTCATGCGTTTTGTCAACAATTTGACTTTAGATAGAGTCTTAGAAAAAAATGAAGCCCAGTTAGTTCAAGCAGCATTCAGATTTGACGATTTAAGAGTCGCCTCTATCGCCACTCCCTGGGAAAAAGTTGTTGCCTTCAATCATGAAATGCCCTACCCCGAAATCCAGGCCATTCACTCCCGAGAATTTTTCACCCGTTATCCAATTTTAAATCAAAAAAAAGAAGTAATAGGAACCTTTAATATGGAATTATTTTGCTGAAAACTAATAAAAAACAAAGAAATCCGGTGGCAAGATTATGTTGACAAAAGAGTTATCCGCTTTTCTCCCCAGGATAAATTGGACAAAGTTTTAACTAAATTACAAACCACTAATTCACGCATGGCTGTCATTCAAGAGAAAAAAAAATTGCTAGGCATTATCACCCTCCAAGATGTTTTAAGTGCCCTAGTGGGAAAAATAAAAGATGAAAAAGAAATATTGTTACTTCCTCGACGTTAATGTTTAGTCAGTTTTTGCTTTTTAACACCTAAATAAGTAAGGACGTTTTTACCTTTAGTCTTGACGACAACACATTAGGTTTTGCTTGCAGCATTTTTATTTGTTTTTTTTATCATTGTTTTCAGTTCCTACAATTCTTTTTCAACTGGCATTATCTCTTTTTATAGCCTTTCAGGCAAAATAGGTGTAAAGCAAAGCGTAAATAATACTAATAATTAAAAAAATAATGGCCCCCACTTTGCGACGGTCATCAGGATTAGGGAAAAAATTAAAATAACTGCCAATTACGATAAAAGGCATGGAAATTCCAGCCGCAATAACAAAAAATAACTCAAAAAAATCCTTTATATTCATAATTTCTAGGTTTTTCAATTGTTTTTCTTCATGTGAGAAAAACAAAATGTTGATCTGTATTAATTTATTTATTATTTTTTACGCTACTCAAAAGTTATTTTTTTCTCTACCTCATAGTCAATCAGTTTTTGACATACTTCTTGTAAATCCCCTTCTATAATGAAATTAAGTTTATTTCAACTTACTCCTAATCGGTGGTCGGTCACCCGATTTTGGGGTCAATTATAAGTGCGAATTTTTTCAGACCTTTCCGCTGTGCCAATGGCAGAAGAGCGCAAATTACCTACTTCTTTTGCTTTCTCGGTTTGTAATTTTTCTAAAATCCGTGCTTTGAGAACAGACATTGCTCTTTTGAGGTTAATTCTTTGATCGCGACCATCCTGCGAAGTTGCCATGGTTTTAGTCGGAATATGAAAAACTCGTACTGCCGAGGCGGTTTTATTGGCATGTTGCCCGCCTGGTCCACCGGAACTATAAGTCTCAATTTTTAAATCCTGATCGCGAATACTTAAATTTATATCTTGAGCCTCGGGCAAAATTACCACGCTAGCTGTGGAAGTATGCACTCTCCCTTTCCTTTCTGTACGCGGAACTCTTTGTACGCGGTGAACTCCGGCTTCATTTTTTAGTCACTTAAACGCATTTTCTCCTTTCACGAGAAAAGAAATAAACCTAAAACCACCCTCTTTGTCAACATCGGTCTCCACCATTTCTACTTTTCAACCCTTTTCTTTAGCGAAACTTTCATACATCTGATAAAGGTCACCGACAAATAATTCGGCTTCTTTCCCACCCGCATGTGGACGGATTTCTACAACGATATTTTGGCTTGTTTCCTCCTCAGCCATTATTTGTTCTCTAATTTTAGAGATTAACTGCTCTTTTTGCTCTTGGAGATTTTCAATTTCTTTTAGCAAAAAATCACACTCCTCTTTATTTGCTTCTTGGCTTAATTCCT